TGGACTTTTGTTTACTTTTGTTAATAGTTTGACCGCAACCTTTCTTTCTCGAAACACAAATCCTACTGTACTTCATTACAGTATTAAGATAATATAAAGCAAATCATGTGAATATATGACTACGAAATAGATCTATAGATTTGTCCATAATATTTAATACCGTATTGATGGTTTTGAATTTTGTATATTGAATTTTAATGTGAAGCGTTTACTCTTCCCCCTCGGCAATTAATTAGAAAGTTAGATTAATGACAATAATTGCCAAATGACGTAGTAGATATAGATGTTCAATGTTGTAGAGTGATTTCAAGAGTAGTGGTCCACAGGGGTCCGAAAAAGCCGTACAGGCACTTGGGTCCTTATCCTTGTCACTAGTCCCAATTAGATTCACTTTACACAAAACATGAACGTTTACAATTTAGACGTACACATTGGCACGATATTTATTAGAAAGCAAACAGTATAAAATAATACGTGCGTGCGCGGCTTGAGCCGCGCCGCATAACAATTTATGCGTTTAGGGGCTGGAGTACGCGTGTTTACAGATTAATGAATTGTTGCATTGTAAATATTTAAAGTTGACGATATATTATGATTTAATAGTAAATTTTTGAAAGCTGGCTTTGGACTTAGGTAAATTATAACTTATTTATTTTAAAGAAAAAACCACGTATAGTTTTAAATTTACAAAGTCGTATAACTATAATCAAGTTAATCCTGTTTTCAAGAATGCGCGGCTTTGGCGGCCAGTTATTGACTTGTACATAAAATTGAATTTTAAATAGAAATGTGAATGTATTAAAATTTAAAACTTTCAAAACGGAGGCTTATAAATATTATTATATTATAATTGTAAAATAAAGGATAAAATTTTAAATTTGTTTCGCTAAAAAAAATTTGTTTCGCTACATGCTCCTGCACTGCTTGCGTCCAGAGGGTGATAACTTGATATATCACATAAATATCTTACCAGTGCCATAATCTAGGCTATAGAGGATGTTCTCATCACAGATGGAGATTAATACTTGTGGGGAACAACCAGATACTCATGGAGAAATATTGAATGCATTAATACCTGAGAACACGTAAGTCAATTTTTCAAAAAATAAAAGTCTGAAAGATAACATCTGAGGAAAGCTTTGATTTTTACACAATTAGTATTATATATAATTTAATGTAGTGAAAAATGTTATCAGAAATCAGTTAATCATAATAAGAGTATGTATGTAAGCTTGATACCTTTGTCAATAAAGAAGTCAATTATTTGACTGTTTTGCAATGCAATGTAAAATACATATGATTTGATTTCAAATCATATAATGGTTTATTCCCTAAAATATAAATACTTTCAGTAACATTGATACATTACAGATTGGATATGGTTGAGTCAGTTTTTCTCTTCTGTAATTTTCTTATGTTGGCTTGGTCTTTGCTTGCTGGTTATTACTTCAGAGAGAGAGAAAGAATAATACCTATGTCCCCTCCACCTCCTGGTGCATATATCCACCCTGTATTTAGTAAACTAATTACTTATGAAAATATTTACGAGGTGTTTGAGAGTATTGCCCAGAATTATGAAACTGCAACACTCCGAGATATCAGTGTGTACAGTTCCCCATTGAGTGCTCCATTTAAAAGCTCTAAACCTGGAATTCGCCGTTACTTGCAGCAGCAATTTTCCCCTGTGGATTATCATGCTTTTGTTGTTTTTCAAACAAGTGATGGAATGTGGTGGGCACTTGACAAAATGGTGGAAGGAATTTTTGTTAGTTGGGGAAAAAGTTTTTATTCGGTTTTATTTAACTTTAACATGACACCTCGTCCTAATCCTATCTTCCGGCTAGCTCATGACTCTTCAACTGCTTCAATCGAAAAGTTAGTCCGCTGTCTGGATAATACCTTGCCACAAAATCTATATGATCCTTTTACAAGTAACTGCCAACATTTTACAAAATTGATGTTTGATAAGCTTGCTGAAGATAAATCTTGGGGACTCAAGACACCTGCTGATATAACAAGTCCCTTAATATTGTTTAGTAACAGTGGATATCCTTTTTATGGGATGTTATTTTGTGTATCTGTCATCTTTGAAATATGTCTTCTGCTTAATAACAATAACGGAAATGGAGCATCCTTTTACTATCAAAGTGTAGTGTTTACATTGATTCTGGTCTCATTTTTAATCCTGTTGCATTTTATTGATAAGGTTGATGAGGACACATTTTATATTATAGGTATACTGATAGTAATGTTATTACTCAGTCTTCTTATAGTGGAGGCAATATTTTGTACGCCTTTTGGTGCTATTAGAAAACGGGTCATTGCAGTATGGTTCTATGTGAGATCTGGTTCTACTTTCTACAAATTATGGTTACCACTATGTTTTGGGTTGCTTTATACGACAATCATGTTTGGAATGGTATTACATCTTCCTCTGGATATCCTACGGAATTACCTGCCTACTTACATAACATCAGCATTGTTTCCTTCACAGGATAATAGTCTCCGGTTAAAGAATGTTGTCACTTGGTATGTTGCTACTTTGGTATACTTTTATTTACAAGAGCAGTATTATCTTTAAATTTCTTCACCTGAAATCATTTTCAAATCAATTCATGAATCATTGTAAATGTTCGAGAAGTGTTGACATCACTTTCAAATGATTTCGTCAGATTTAATTTTACCACCGAATTGAAAAATACTCCTATCTGATATTATATGTATTGACTGATATAAGGGTTCCATTTTGTGTAGTTCATGATATGTTTCGTAATTTTTTATATATTATAATTTTTGATAGAATAAAAGCCCCCTTATTAAGGATCAAGATGATATGTTTGCATGGCTGCCGTTTTGATAAGTGCAAATGTTCTGAGCACGTGAACCCAGTGGCGTAACTTAGGGCCCCGCAGACCCCGCTGTGCGGGGGGGGCGCCGTATAAGGGGGGCGCAATTTTCCTGAATTTTAGGCCCTTTCACTGAAAAAACGCCTTGTTTGTGTATTTCCCTGTCCAATTTAGCGTTCGGCCGACACGAAAAAAATATTTGGGGTACCCTTTTTTGCTTCAGGGGGCGCAAAAAGCTGTAGGGGGGCGAGAAAAAAAGTACCCGACCTTTTTTTTTTTTTTTTTTTTTTTTTTTTTTTTTAGGGACCAAAAATTTTAGGGGGGCGCTTTTCGTCACTGAGCGGGGGGGCGCCAACAAGCAAAGTTTCGCCACTGCGTGAACCCCTTTGTTCTGTTTCCTATGATCCGATGTAACGAAGATTTCCTGCCTAATTTGTGTGTTTCTGGTTGTGTCCGAATAAAAAATATTTTGTACAGTGTTTCATATGTATGAATTTTGAATGATAATATTGGATATACCCACTTCCTTTTGATGTGAATTTTAAAGTTTAATTGACTTTCTCGTTCAACCCAACTTTTGTATCTAATATTTATGAGAGTAAAATACAGCTTTGTTTTAATATGTTGATAATCTGTATGTTTTGTAATAATTAATGATCCACGCATCAAAAAACTCTCAACGTTTCCTTAAACTAATAACCTACTAATAATATGATAATGTAATACTGTTCAGTAGGTTGTGAGTTATGAAGTTTCATATCGAAGGAAAACTATCAGAGTTCTTACATGGTTGTGACAAAAAGTTCACAGAGGATACTGAAATATCATACGAAGATCTAAAACAACAGTGGATAAAGCACAGGGATAGCCAGAACAAATTTTCATGTCTATTCGAACTACTGCAAGGGAGTGATATTGAGTGGGCAAACTTTTACCCTCAGAAAAAGGTTAAAACCCCTGAAGAGATGAAGGCGTACAAGGCACGGTTACAGCAGCTGGAGTATCAGCAACTTACAAAAGGCATGGACAAAAAAACTGATGAGTATTTTAAGGTTAGAACTGGAGGTGGATTTTGGAAACATATCAGTGATAAGACAAATTGTTTGATTCACAAGCTTTCAGATAATTTGTGTTAGTATCAAAATCAGCTAGGTAAGAATTTGAAAGAAACTTTATAAGGGTTTTTCCAACAATTATTATTCGGACGGAATCACAGACCAACGTGCATGCAGCCAAAACTCTTTGACGACATGATCTTATAGTTATAGGTGCATAGTTACGCCAGATTGTATTTCAATTAGTAGTCGAAATAAAAAACCTACGTAGATCAAGATTTTAATGCAGCTTACTGGTATGCAATATTAAAACTATTTCAGGGATCTCATAAAAGAGAAGTCAGCGCTGTGATAAACTGTTTTATAACCGTGGCTGGAATGTTCATCGCATTTTACGCTCTCACAAGTTCTATAGGGTGCCAGCCAGTAACCTGTATTTGTTCGGGACTAACTGCTGCACTTGGAATTGCTGCTATCGAACTGTATTATCTTCTAAGGACATTGTGATCTTCTAAGTTGCATTAAATGTTACTGATAAATTTGATTATTTTTGTGAATTTACCAAATTTGCCAGTTTTGATAATTTGATTTTGTTATTATTTAAATTGTAAATGTTTACCTGTGATGGGTTGGCATATTTCAGGTCTCGAGTGCTTTACAAAATATTACTTTCTAATGTTTTGATGCAATAGTACTGATTTTGGCAATTTAGCATAAAATACTATTATTGATCACCTTTTTATATTATAAGTTTATGTTGAAGAGGCCTCAAGTTTGTCACGAAATTGAAGATTTATAAATTTGACATAATGAATGCGTCTTTTATTAGTTATGATTGGCACTCAATAACTGAAAGGTGTGGAATGTCAGTGAGAAAAATTTGCCTTGCAATTTAAATTATAATTCTGTGGTTTACCGTATATTTTAACTTGTTTACAATAAAATTTTGTTTCTGTCCGTGCATATTGTGCATAGCATACATTGTCAATTGAGGTCATTTATTTGGCTACTATTCTATAAGAAATAAAACTTCAAATAAATTTCTACGATAGGAAACAAATGATTAGATATAGATTAGATACTTTCTAGAGTAAATAACCATTTTCAGATCAAATAATGATAAAAGCATTTCTCCCTGACTCAGTACTGGACCGCACCTCACCTTCAGAATCTGCTATTGCTCTCCGCGTACTCAACAGAACACTACTGAGCTCTCTTATCCGAGTGGTAACCACCCAGTTCCCCTTACCTTCATTTAAACGGGTCATCCAGCGCGATAATTCCTGCCTACTTCTTATCTGTAAAGTATCTCAGCTACAGTCCCAGTTTGAAAACCCTGAGGAGATATCAGTTGCTACATCAAACCACTTGATAAGTATTCTCAATAATCCTGATAAAGGTATTTCGCCTGGTGACTTACTTCTTGTGACAGTACCTTCTTGTTTGCCTCTAATAGAGGCACAAAGGAAGAGCTGTCAATGGCCTGTTTCTTTTCATCCTAATAGAGAACTTGAAAATAAGATAGCAGGGCTGAATTTCAGTAAAGACGAGAAATTGTTGATAATAAACAGGGTGTCAAATCTTTTAACACAGTGTAAAGAAGCATCCGTCAGAACAAATTTATCAGTGAATTTTGTAATAGTAGTTAATCCTAAGACAGGGGAAGTGATAGCTACATCTTCTACTTGCACAGACAGCTTGTTGGGACATGCCACTATGAAAGTTGTAGATAAGATATCTCTGAGACAAAATAAACGAAACCTTATCTCTTCAGAAAGTCCATGTGATTTAACGTCATGCAATGGTAATGGCAAGCGTGGACCGGAACATGTTTCACAGCCTGTGAAGAAGACTAAAACGGACCCTTCTGTTCCTGATGATTATCTTTGTACTGGATATGATATTTACCTTGCTATCGAGCCATGTGTCATGTGCACTATGGCTCTTGTTCACTCCCGGATTAAAAGAATATTTTTTGGGAAACGCAGGGAGGATTTCGGAGGTCTTATTGAAGCAAAATTACACGAAATTTCTGCGCTGAATCACAGCTTCGAGGTTTATAATGTTTCGATAACTGGAGATTAAGAAGTCCAAACTCCAAGTCCGGTACCATGATTTTATATTATATTCTACTGTTTTCATTGGATTTTTACATTGCTTCAGTCGAATTCATGACTCCTTTAAAGATCCTTTTTAAACATTTGTCCTTTGGGTGGAGCAAATTTTATTTATGTGATTGATTACTTTACTTTCTGCTAAAGTTGTCATTATTACATTGATCAATATTCAAGATTAATGAATCTGTTAATGCAAATAATGAAATAATACCACATACAATATAATGTTCCTAAATAAACAATGAACATCTAAATCTAACATTGACATTTGACAACTACTGTTAAATTCTCACAAAACGCAAACCCTCAGGTACAATGCATTTATCCAATGTTCTCACACGCTCCTCCAAGCGGCTCCTACAACGATGCATATCCAGCGGTTGTCAGTACAACACCAAACACAAGATAAATCCACCACAATTTCGTAACATGGTAAAAGCAACCGCACATGATAGTCAGGAGGTAGGCTTCCTCAAACTACGGAAACACATAAGTCTATTATTTGGGGGTGTTTGTGGGTCTCAGCCTGTTCCTGGGGATCCCAACAGTTGCTTTGTGAGCTTTAAAGATAGTGTTCATAGATATCATGCTGTTAATTCACGTGTTGTTAACTACACGTTTGAACCAATCACACCTTATTCCTCAACATACGATCACAGGTTGTTTCCTTATATAGCAGTTGTTTCCGTAGCATCACACTTTGATTATAAGTCTGTTGTGAGGTATGTTGAAGAGAAAGCCGGCCAACCTGACTCATTTGATCATTCTAACATGCGGGGTAAAAAGTCTGTCAGAAACATTTTCTTCTCATTTTGGGACTACGAGATATACCGGAGAGTTGTTCCTGATGATTCAGTGCACAGAATTCCAGGAGATATTGTGCTACCAAGAAAACGTAGAGGGAGCATCCCTAATGAGCCTGTGAAAGATGCTCTATTATACAGCTACTTACCCTTGTATTTGAATGAGGATCTTTCAACCATGATCAACTCGATCGTCATTGAATGGGAGTCATTCAAGAAAGTTGACTGTTCAATAATATTCAAGATTTTTGAAACAATCGGTACTGTGAAGGGCTTTGAAAGCGCGGGTAAAAACAAAGTGCGAGTTCACTTTGCCAAAATACGTGTGTCCCAGCTCTTCTCTGCATTCCATCAGCAGTCTCTACTAGGTAGAGGACTGATGATTGTATCTTTAAAAGATAAAGGATGGAAGGATGCCGGGGTTATTGTTTATATTCCCCATACTGAAGACAATCCCATCGTTGAAAAGAAACTTCTCCCTTTCATTAAAAGAAATAGTATTTGTCTTCACAATATTGATCCTGACACTGATTATGGAAGATGTAAAGTTGATAGGGACAATGTTCATTTTGTGGGAAGTATTTTCGATTTCATGGGCTGTAATCCTGGTTTTATATCTGCAACATATTTTCCAGAGGAGAAACAGATGCATGTTCTATTTGAACATGCAGCGTATGTGAACATGATGGTTGACGTTGTTAATAAAAGTAATGTATTTAGTTTACAAAATAAAATCAGGGCAGAGCCCCTTAGTGATCTCTCAAATAAAAGTGAAGGTTTTAAATCTACCATTTAAATGGTCCATCTACTGCAGAGGCAATCCTATTTCGCACTTTACCCGCACTTTACCCCCACTTTACCCGCACTTTACCCAAGCTGTTCGTAATTTTGTTTGAAAATTAATAAATTATTTCAGTGTTTCTCGTAACTTGTGTCTGAATCTGATATAAAAGTTTTGTATTTTTTAAGATACAGCGGGTACATGATATTTTCTGCAATTTTCACAATTTAACTTGTAAATAAAAAACGATGATTTCTCGGGTACATTGATATTATGTAAACTCTATCCAACACTAATAAACCCACAACCAGTTACAGTATGTTCATATTAATTACCGTCAAAGCTTGAAATAGCAAACTATTCAAGTACTCAATGCTAATTAAACTTACTTGCTTAGTAGATGTCACAAAGCAATGTATTCATGCAGCCCATTGCTTCCCTGCAACAGATTCAGAGTAAAATCAGAATAACACCGAGTGTTGTGAGTGTTTGTTAAAATTAAAATTGTTGTTAAATTTCCTTCAAGCACATCTCAAATCTCAATGACGTTAAATTTATTATTCAATTGATTAATTATTTAATGATTATTTAAAACTTTAACTTAAACCACATGACCACTATAAAAACACTCAGGCTGGTGTCAGTGGTGTGTACATCCTATTCTACCTGATAACAGAGCTGCTCCACGCGCACAACTCCCACGCACTAGAGTTCACCCCTGCGGAAGTGTTCACTGGGCGGGTATGGCAACTTGTTACAGCGGGGTTTACTGAGAAGTATCTGATATGTGTAGTGTTTAACCTGTCCCTGCTAGCAGTCAGTAACCGCTTTTTGGAACCTGTTTGGGGCACTCTGGAGTATATCAAGTTTATCGTGGTTATCAACATTGCCGCCTACTCCATGAATCTGGTCATATATTTCGTGGGGTATGTTGCACTCCGGGAAGAGAGTTTCCTTTACGCGCCCTTCAGCGGGGGACAAGGTCTACTGGGAGGTATTCTGGTGGGGTTGAAGCAGCTGATACCTGATCATGTGATGGTGCGCGCGGTGCCAGCAGTGCGCGTCAGACATCTCCCGCTCTGCTCATTTATAGCTGCTTTATTTCTTATGTTGATCAGAGTTTCGGGGTTGAGGTATCTTACTGTTACTATTGGGGGACTTGCTTCTTCGTGGATATATCTCAGGTTATTGTTATGGTTTATTTAGTAGCAATTAGTTTATTTATTAATTATTGGATGCTTGGACTAACACTGAAATTTAATGTTTACGCCTTCAATTCTTGTACATGAAGATCGTACCACCGATATGGACGTTAACTTAGCAAAAATCTCTAAAATAGTTTGCGATCTCATTCTACAAAAGTGTTAGAGTTAACAATTGGAATATTTCAGGTATTTCCAGATCAGGGACTCTGGCAGAGGTGATTTCTCTGACGCTCTTTCCCTCGCGTCATTCTTCCCTGAGTCTGCTCAACCTCACGTCATAAAATACAGGTTAGTTCCAGTTGGGTATTAGTAAATAGGTTAGTTTAGTTTGTGTATTGGTCTTAAATAAACCTTGTGTAAAACTTGTTCCAGACCACACGTTCAGTGACTTTAGATAGGGGGGGGGGGGGCCAATGGCATAAATGGAGAAAATGGAGAATTACTCATAGGTTTTTCCATTTTCTCCATAGAAATAGTCTCCATTTTATGCCATTTTATGCCATTTTATGCCATTGAAAACCTGAAAAATTTAGAATTTCGAGAAAAATTATTTTTAAAAAAGATATTTTTGGCCAATAATGAACAGAGTATCATGAAACATGGAGAAAAGTGGTTTTCAGAAAAACTTTGAAAAATTTTGACTTAGAAAATGTTCGGTCCGAGTCATTTACGATACGTACCTCCCGTATCGAGAGCTCCCGATTCCCAGCTCGTGTTGCAAAGGGGAGGCCTGCCTTCCGAGATCGCATTACCTCGAGTCCAAAATTGTGTATCGAGGGGAAGGTGTGGACTTCGAAAAGCCGAAAAAATATTTTCGGCAAATAATGAACAGGGTAGCATGAAACGTGGAGAAAAGCGGTTTTCAGAAAAAATTTGAAAAATGCTGGCTTAGAAAATGTTCGGTCCGAGTCATTTTCGATACGTACCTCCCGTATCGAGAGCTCCCGATTCCCAGCTCGTGTTGCAAAGGGGAGGCCTGCCTTCCGAGATCGCATTACCTCGAGTCCAAAATTGTGTATCGAGGGGAAGGTGTGGACTTCGAAAAACCGAAAAAATATTTCGGCAAATAATGAACAGAGTAGCATGAAACGTGGAGAAAAGCGGTTTTCAGAAAAAATTTGAAAAATTTTGACCGAAAAAATATTTTCGGCTTAAAATGAACAAGGTAGCATGAAACGTGGAGAAAAGTGTTTTTCAGAAAAACTTTGAAAAATTTTGACTTAGAAATTACCCCTCGGTACACAATTTTGGACTCGAGGCTTCCCCCTGCTGATGCGATCTCGGAAGGCAGGCCTCCCCTTTGCAACAAGAGCTCGGAATCGGGAGCTCTCGATACGAGAGGTACGTATCGAGAATGACTCGGGCCGAAAATTTTTAAGTCAACATTTTTCAAAGTTTTTCTAAAAACCACTTTTCTCCACGTTTCATGCTACCCTCTTCATTATAAGCCGAAAATATTTTTTTGGTTTTTCGGTTTATCGAAGTCTGCACCTACCCCTCGATACACAAATTTGGACTCGAGGCTTCCCCCTGGTAATGCGATCTCGGAAGGCAGGCCTCCCCTTTGCAGTGCGAGCTTGTTTCGACTGTCGAGGATGTAGGTCTCACTTCTCAGTGCCTATTACTCTCCCCTATTACTCACTCCTGCTGTAGCCTGTAGAAATAACTTTACACTAGGCTTGAGTAATTATGAGTTTGCCTGAAGTGTGCCTCTACTAACCTAGTATAAGCATCTAGTAGCCTACTATGAGCTTTCATAAGCTTGTTACGCCCCTAGTAAGCGTAAATAAACATGTTAGGATGTCCAATTTAGGTGTTAAATGGTGTTAAAGATGAAATTTCGAAGACAAAATTCATGGCATAAAATGGAGAAAATGGAGAATTACTCATGGGTTTTTCCATTTTCTCCATAGAAAAAGTCTCCATTTTATGCCATTTTATGCCATTTTATGCCATTGGCCCCCCCCCCCCTAGATAGGGCCCTATCATAAAGGGGGGGGGGGGTGCCGGGGGTGCCACGCCCTATCATAACACAATAGATCTTAGCTCTAAGTGTAATATAGGTTCAATTTGCTTTAACTTTGAAAACAAATTTGTAAAATAGCAAAACATGTAATTTACGAAAAATCAGCTGTAAATCTTAACTTTTCTCTCTCATCAAAAAATTAAAACCAATCTCCCTCACAGTTCAGCAGTGAGTTCGGTGGTAGATGGAATGTTACAAAAACGTCAAGCCAGCAAAACAGTGGACCTGAAAACCTTCTCTACTAACGTTAACATTATAACAGATCCTGTTTCTGAGCGCAGACGTCAGCTAGCCCTTCAAGTTAGTTTCAGTAGTTGTCAGCTAGCCCTTCAAGTTAGTTTCAGTAATTGTCAGCTAGCACTTCAAGTTAGTTTCAGTAATTGTCAGCTAGCCCTTCAAGTTAGTTTCAGTAGTTGTCAGCTAGCCCTTCAAGTTAGTTTCAGTAGTTGTCAGCTAGCCCTTCAAGTTAGTTTCAGTAGTTGTCAGCTAGCCCTTCAAGTTAGTTTCAGTAATTGTCAGCTAGCCCTTCAAGTTAGTTTCAGTAATTGTCAGCTAGCCCTTCAAGTTAGTTTCAGTAGTTGTCAGCTAGCCCTTCAAGTTAGTTTCAGTAATTGTCAGCTAGCCCTTCAAGTTAGTTTCAGTAATTGTCAGCTAGCCCTTCAAGTTAGTTTCAGTAATTGTCAGCTAGCCCTTCAAGTTAGTTTCAGTAGTTGTCAGCTAGCCCTTCAAGTTAGTTTCAGTAATTGTCGGCTAGCACTTCAAGTTAGTTTCAGTAATTGTCAGCTAGCCCTTCAAGTTAGTTTTAGTAGTTGTCAGCTAGCCCTTCAAGTTAGTTTCAGTAATTGTTAGCTAGCCCTTCAAGTTAGTTTCAGTAGTTGTCAGCTAGCCCTTCAAGTTAGTTTCAGTAATTGTCAGCTAGCGGGCTAGCCCTTCAAGTTAGTTTCAGTAGTTGTCAGCTAGCCCTTCAAGTTAGTTTCAGTAGTTGTCAGCTAGCACTTCAAGTTAGTTTCAGTAGTTGTTAGCTAGCCCTTCAAGTTAGTTTCAGTAGTTGTCAGCTAGCCCTTCAAGTTAGTTTCAGTAGTTGTTAGCTAGCCCTTCAAGTTAGTTTCAGTAGTTGTCAGCTAGCCCTTCAAGTTAGTTTCAGTAGTTGTTAGCTAGCCCTTCAAGTTAGTTTCAGTAGTTGTCAGCTAGCCCTTCAAGTTAGTTTCAGTAGTTGTTAGCTAGCCCTTCAAGTTAGTTTCAGTAGTTGTCAGCTAGCACTTCAAGTTAGTTTCAGTAGTTGTTAGCTAGCCCTTCAAGTTAGTTTCAGTAGTTGTCAGCTAGCCCTTCAAGTTAGTTTCAGTAATTGTCAGCTAGCCCTTCAAGTTAGTTTCAGTAATTGTCAGCTAGCCCTTCAAGTTAGTTTCAGTAATTGTCAGCTAGCCCTTCAAGTTAGTTTTAGTAGTTTGATAGTTGTTACACTGGTGTTGTGGATGTGACTAGTTTTAGGAGTTACCTTTAACTCGGCCTAAGTGATATCAATTTTTTTTAAATAATTTAACCGAGTTATTGTAAACTAATTTTTTGATGTAGAACAATGATAAGGAGGAGCTTCAGAATGAATTAGTGATTGCGGTGGCTATTATAAAACGTTTATATTCTAAAGCCTCACCTTGTAATATCGATTAAAGTTCAAAGACCCGGACATTCTAACATCATCATAATAGATCTGAAATACAATACATTATATTTCAGATCTATAATGACAGACGCGGAATAACCGTCCGGACGATTATTCCGCGTCCGTCATAATCCGTGATAATGCCGTGTAGGTAACTGTTACACGCGTGTAGGACATCTGTAGATGTGTGTAACTCTATAGTTTATAGTATATAATATCGTAACTGAGGTACAGTGTATTCAAACTACATTTCTATCAAACACAAATGTACATTGTACATGTAAACAATGTACATGAAAACAGTGCATGAAAACAACATAGGGTTATTGGTTGTACTATGTCACATTCAAAAAACTGGCCGGTTCATTCATCACAACATCTCAGATAAAACCTATTCAGCACAATTACAATCCTTATCTCGAACAGATTTAACTAAATTAAATTAATTAATAAATGTAATGATTCAGGCGCTAAACGAGAGATTACAGAAGACTGACGACGTTGACTGGCCCAGCTCGGACAGTGAGCCTGAAGCGACTCCAGCAACTGATGAAATAGTCTGACTCCACTGTAAAACTATTATAGATGAAAGTAAAACCTGGTTTGTATATTTCAGACGCTGATGTTTGACGATTAATCAGTTAATTAATTGACCAATTAATTGATTGGTTAATTGGTATGTTGGTTGGAGGATGATATGATTTGTTACGTTTAGCTCAGTAGAGAATTCAGATGCATGATTTGCATTTTAATTAAGATTAATGGTAATAGTAGGGTTATTTTTATATCTTTACTGTAATTTAGGTTATTTTGTGTGTCTTTAGACTATCACCGCGATAAATAAAGTTTCTTCTGGTATTAAAACATATTTTGGAAAATGTTAGCTTTTTATCGTCTAACACTTCAAAATCCATGATTTTACATAAGTTTATTGCCCTGTTATTTTCATTTGAAGCCTTTGCCCTCAACGAAATGGATAACTTTTTATTCTATTTCAATCTCGTTTCTCATATTGAGTTTTAACTAATAGATGTAGTTCTACATAATATTAAAGACTCAAGTTCTGAAAGTTTTTTGATTTCGAGGTTTCTTTTGCATGAATTGATGTGAATGTGTATTTATTTTATTTAAAATTTGAATTCCGATGAAATTTTGTATTTACTTTCTTCAAGAAACCAGTTAACCAAACGTCATATTGTGAGAGTGGAGGACAGGGTGTTATTTTACAGTATTATGGTTGCGAGCAAACTAACATTTAAACAAAACTAACTAAAATGTGAAATGTGCGAGTGTGCGAGTGTGCGAGTGTGCGAGTATGCGTCTTGTAATTGCAGAACTTTGTTAAAAGAAAGAAGATGTGTCCTATGTGGTTGATACAGTGGTGTTCATTGAACCAGGACACTTATAGTCTATAGAGTACAGAGTGTGACTTTTGTGATAAGAGGTCTTTAAGAGCGCATGTTCGGACTCACTAAAGAAACAAGCTATTAGAAAATAGTCGCACTGACAGTAAGTCTAGTGTAAGTTACTTTCAGTAAGTCTAGTGTAAGTTACTGACAATAAGTCTAGTGTAAGTTACTGACAGTAAGTCTAGTGTAAGTTACTTTCAGTAAGTCTAGTGTAAGTTACTGACAGTAAGTCTAGTGTAAGTTACTTTCAGTAAGTCTAGTGTAAGTTACTGACAGTAAGTATAGTGTAAGTTACTGACAGTAAGTCTAGTGTAAGTTACTGACAGTAAGTCTAGTGTAAGTTACTGACAGTAAGTCTAGTGTAAGTTACTGACAGTAAGTCTAGTGTAAGTTACTGACAGTAAGTATAGTGTAAGTTACTGACAGTAAGTCTAGTGTAAGTTACTGACAGTAAGTCTAGTGTAAGTTACTGACAGTAAGTCTAGTGTAAGTTACTGACAGTAAGTCTAGTGTAAGTTACTGACAGTAAGTCTAGTGTAAGTTACTGACAGTAAGTCTAGTGTAAGTTACTGACAGTAAGTCTAGTGTAAGTTACTGACAGTAAGTCTAGTGTAAGTTACTGACAGTAAGTCTAGTGTAAGTTACTGACAGTAAGTCTAGTGTAAGTTACTGACAGTAAGTCTAGTGTAAGTTACTGACAGTAAGTCTAGTGTGAGGTACTGACAGTAAGTCTAGTGCAAGTTACTGACAGTAAGTCTAGTGTAAGTTACTGACAGTAAGTCTAGTGCAAGTTACTGACAGTAAGTCTAGTGTAAGTTACTGACAGTAAGTCTAGTGTAAGTTACTGACAGTAAGTCTAGTGTAAGTTATTGACAGTAAGTCTAGTGTAAGGTACTGACAGTAAGTCTAGTGTAAGTTACTGACAGTTTAAGTCTAGTGTAAGTTACTGACAGTAAGTCTAGTGTAAGTTACTGACAGTTTAAGTCTAGTGTAAGTTACTGACAGTAAGTCTAGTGCAGTCAAAGCAGGATTAATGAACGAATAGTGTGACATTGGGTTCTCAACCATGAAAATTTAGAAGTCCCTACATGCTGTTCTTTCTGGCTCCATGTGCTAGTTAGGGGTCTGAGGTATCCGAAAAATCATGTTTTGAGTACCCAAAGTGTTCTAGGTGCCAGGAATGAGGTTATTAAAGCGGCGAAAATTACCGATTTTGGACTATTTATGAGCTTTTTTGCCCATTTTCATGAGATAAAGAATCAGGAAAGCTGCTCTAGATGATTGAAATGGTTGCTACCAATGAGGATACACCCAACACACATAAATATTCGTGATATATGTGATTTTAATGAGAAAAATATGATCTCAGGGCCCATTTTATACCAAAATTTGCCAAAACCACTCGCACTTGTCAAAGCTTCCTCATTTTAGACACATTTAATGATTATTATGGTATCTAACTTATGGTGGATCTGATAGGAGTATGTCTTAGCTTCATTTTAAGCCATCAATGAGCATGCTGGTGTGTATAAAAGTACTTTAATCCTCCTGTCCATTGATATAGTCTGGGCAGTGGGCCATGCGCGTGCGTTTACAAACATGAATTTTCTCCCTCAGTATTTATCTAAAGCTTTTAAAGACATGATTTGAATGCTATCCTACTCAGCACATGAGTGCTACATGATGGTGAAAGAATTTCTATAAAAAATCATTAAATGTGGAAGATATGAGGTCATTATATGTGTGTGTGCGCGCACGCGCGCGCGCGTTTACAAACTTGATATCCTCAGTCCTTCCACATATACTGAGATTTTGTTTCAAACTTAATTGACCCTGAACCGAAATTGCCAGAGGAAACAGATAGTGTAACTCAGAAAGACCACAAATGGATAGTTTGTGAGATATTGAGGTTAAACTCCAAAAAATTTACAATGATGTCACACCAGAAAACCCCTATTTTTGGTATATTCAACCTCATATCTCAAACGCGCAGTACTGGATTGAGCTAAACTTGGTCAGGTTTTGTAGCCCTGACTATCCTCGATCATATGGAACAGGAATAAAACTGTTTAGATGTTATATCTTAATTGTATTAGGCACTTAGTTCTGAAAAGTGAGAATGTCATTAATACTGCTTTCACTGAGTGTAAGTTACTGACAGTAAGTCTAGTGTAAGTTACTGACAGTAAGTCTAGTGTAAGTTACTGACAGTAAGTCTAGTGTAAGTTACTGACAGTTAGTCTAGTGTAAGTTACTGACAGTAAGTCTAGTTTAAGTTACTGACAGTAAGTCTAGTGTAAGTTACTGACAGTAAGTCTAGTGTAAGTTACTGACAGTAAGTCTAGTGTAAGTTACTGACAGTAAGTCTAGTGTAAGTTACTGACAGTAAGTCTAGTGTAAGTTACTGACAGTAAGTCTAGTGTAAGTTACTGACAGTAAGTCTAGTGTAAGTTACTGACAGTAAGTCTAGTGTAAGTTACTGACAGTAAGTCTAGTGTAAGTTACTGACAGTTAGTCTAGTGTAAGTTACTGACAGTAAGTCTAGTGTAAGTTACTGACAGTAAGTCTAGTGTAAGTTACTGACAGTAAGTCTAGTGTAAGTTACTGACAGTAAGTCTAGTGTAAGTTACTGACAGTAAGTCTAGTGTAAGTTACTGACAGTAAGTCTAGTGTAAGTTACTGACAGTAAGTCTAGTGTAAGTTACTGACAGTAAGTCTAGTGTAAGTTACTGACAGTAAGTCTAGTGTAAGTTACTGACAGTAAGTCTAGTGTAAGTTACTGACAGTAAGTCTAGTGTAAGTTACTGACAGTAAGTCTAGTGTAAGTTACTGACAGTAAGTCTAGTGTAAGTTACTTTCAGTAAGTCTAGTGTAAGTTACTGACAGTAAGTCTAGTGTAAGTTACTTTCAGTAAGTCTAGTGTAAGTTACTGACAGTAAGTCTAGTGTAAGTTACTGACAGTAAGTCTAGTGTAAGTTACTGACAGTAAGTCTAGTGTAAGTTACTGACAGTAAGTATAGTGTAAGTTACTGACAGTAAGTCTAGTGTAAGTTACTGACAGTAAGTCTAGTGTAAGTTACTGACAGTAAGTCTAGTGTGAGTTACTGACAGTAAGTCTAGTGTGAGTTACTGACAGTAATTTAAGTCTAGTGTAAGTTACTGACAGTAAGTCTAGTGTGAGTTACTGACAGTAAGTCTAGTGTGAGTTACTGACAGTAATTTAAGTCTAGTGTAAGTTACTGACAGTAAGTCTAGTGTGAGTTACTGACAGTAAGTCTAGTGTGAGTTACTGACAGTAAGTCTAGTGTAAGTTACTGACAGTAAGTCTAGTGTAAGTTACCTACTGACAGTAAGTCTAGTGTAAGTTACTGACAGTAAGTCTAGTGTAAGTTACTGACAGTAAGTCTAGTGTAAGTTACTGACAGTAAGTCTAGTGTAAGTTACTGACAGTAAGTCTAGTGTAAGTTACTGACAGTAAGTCTAGTGTAAGTTACTGACAGTAAGTCTAGTGTAAGTTACTGACAGTAAGTCTAGTGTAAGTTACTGACAGTAAGTCTAGTGTAAGTTACTGACAGTAAGTCTAGTGTAAGTTACTGACAGTAAGTCTAGTGTAAGTTACTGACAGTAAGTCTAGTGTAAGTTACTGACAGTAAGTCTAGTGTAAGTTACTGACAGTAAGTCTAGTGTAAGTTACTGACAGTAAGTCTAGTGTAAGTTACTGACAGTAAGTCTAGTGTAAGCTACTGACAGTAAGTCTAGTGTGAGTTACTGACAGTAAGTCTAGTGTAAGCTACTGACAGTAAGTCTAGTGTAAGTTACTGACAGTAAGTCTAGTGTGAGGTACTGACAGTAAGTCTAGTGTAAGTTACTGACAGTAAGTCTAGTGTAAGTTACTGACAGTAAGTCTACTGTGAGTTACTGACAGTAAGTCTAGTGTGAGTTACTGACAGTAAGTCTAGTGTAAGTTCCTGACAGTAAGTCTAGTGTGAGTTACTGACAGTAAGTCTAGTGTAAGTTCCTGACAGTAAGTCTAGTGTAAGTTCCTGACAGTAAGTCTAGTGTGAGTTACTGACAGTAAGTCTAGTGTAAGTTACTTTCAGTAAGTCTAGTGTAAGTTACTGACAGTAAGTCTAGTGTGAGTTACTGACAGTAAGTCTAGTGTAAGCTACTGACAGTAAGTCTAGTGTGAGTTACTGACAGTAAGTCTAGTGTAAGCTACTGACAGTAAGTCTAGTGTAAGTTACTGACAGTAAGTCTAGTGTGAGGTACTGACAGTAAGTCTAGTGTAAGTTACTGACAGTAAGTCTAGTGTAAGTTACTGACAGTAAGTCTAGTGTGAGTTACTGACAGTAAGTCTAGTGTAAGTTACTGACAGTAAGTCTAGTGTAAGTTACTGACAGTAAGTCTAGTGTAAGCTACTGACAGTAAGTCTAGTGTAAGTTACTGACAGTAAGTCTAGTGTAAGTTACTGACAGTAAGTCTAGTGTAAGTTACTGACAGTAAGTCTAGTGTGAGCCGTAAGTGGGAAAATCGCAGAAAGAAGAGCTCTATCTCTCTATATCTAAACCTTGTGACCACAAGACTTCTGTCATCTAGTTACAGAGCAAGCTTGCTGGTCTCATTTGCTGTCTCACTACAAGTGGGTAAGTGGAGACATTGTCCGTAATCTTGTACTGAGCTCACTGTTATGTGTAAATATTGTATTGGCAAATGCTCTGCCACATTTTTATTCCGGAATTGA